TTGTTTGCGGGTTTGTTTGCGGCATCTAGATTTATCTCGTTAAGAAATGAAAGTCCTGGAAGAACGTTTAATGTGCTTGTTCATTGTGTTTTACAAGATCTTCTTTGACGGCGCTGCTGCAATGAACCGCATGAGTCTAACGACAGAGCTATGACTTGTTCCTGTAACCTTCTGCGGAATGTACACCCAAGCTTCTTGGCAACTGCAAGAACTCCCGAAGATGATCAACCTTCTGGAAGATAGAAAACGAAATCACCTTCAGAAAGGTTGAAGGAAGCTTGAAGGGGAGGCTTCAAGGGGGCTTCAAAGGGGCTTCAAGGGGGCTTCAAGGGGCCTGACCTTCGTGATGCGCTCGCGGTTTTTGGTCCTTCTGGAACAGCGCGCAACAGAAAGGACTTCAAGCACAATGCATCGAGACCTTTCGGGTTTCAGCTTCTGCAAACTCTCTGATCTGGCGATAGCTATGTTCTTCGTTCAGAAGATGAGTTTGCCAGATTGATTGTGCAGGTGTCCCCGTGGCTCAGTTGGTAGGGCGTCGTTCTTGACGGCGGTGACAGACTGCCGGTGGTGGTTCGATTCCCTGGTGGTCCGCAAGTAAGCCTCAAGACCGTAGACCCGCCGAAAGGCAACGGGCTCGGGCAAAAAAAAAATTGGCAGATTGATTGTGGACGTCGAAAGGGGGTGTGGAAATGTGCATCTCCTATGGACGCCGTCCGCAATGTCTGAACGATCTCTATGTTGGAAGTTTATCACTCCGTGATGGAGTGTACAGCTCTTTACAGGATGATGTGGTTGGTCTGAGAAGATTCGCTACATTCAATTCTGCGAATGGTGAATTTTCAGCGAGGTTGATGCGATTTGGTCATCGCAACTGTCTTGATGGAACGATTTGCTGCAGAATGATGTATTTACATCTGAATTTGGTGCAAGAGATGGACATTTGGGTTGATTACCCAAATCTGTCCTTGGCATTTGATGCCGTCATCACTGGTCGTGATGACGTAGTACATTACTATGGAGTACGGGACTCTAGCAGGACAACAACAGTTTTGTTTTGGTGATCAAGGAGATTGACCTTTATTACCAAGCTTGCCTATGGTGTTTGTGTTCATTTATGGAGGTGATTATGAACACCAAACTGGAGCGATGGACTTGCATCGCTTATTTTGTTATCTGGCTTTTCTGCACTACATGGTTTGCTGGTGATCTCAACGACATATCACGCACTGACTTTACTGGGAACTATGTAATGTAGAGCAGAACTTCTGCTCTCCATTACCCCTTATGAGCTGGATTTGGCATTGGCTTATTGAGATGCTATTGGAGATCAAGCATGAGGTTTGAAGAAGTTTTGTGAGTCAGAAGATCATTGTACAGATCATATGTAATCATCTACTTCGTTCTTAAGTGTAAAGAACTCTGGTTGTTCACGTTTGGATGAGGACCGAGAGTATTTGGGAACTTTTGGAAGTAGATTATGTTTTCTCTAGCTGAATTTGTGATCAACGCAATGTGGAATTGTTCAGTCGATCTTTTAGGAAAGATCGTAATTTTTGAACCTGGAATTGCGTTTCCTCTTCAGACATTGGCTCGAAGGAGTCATCATGTCATGATGAACTGAGTATCATTCGGCTTTCCTTGTTTGTTTGCGTTCGGTCGCTGACCGTTCTGTTTTTGGGGTTTCTGACCTCTGGTAGGTGTGTCCTGCCTGAGGATCCTGACTCCTCTGTGTTGCGTCCGAGCAAAAGATTGAAGCTGACGTTTGCGCTCAGGAGTCGAGGTTGAAACTTCGTTTTGGTTTCTGAGGTTCTGATTTTCGAACTTGGGTTTTTGATCTAGGAAACTAGACTTTATCACAGATGTATGAGACATTTTGGAGAAGTGTCATTTGTACTCTCCAGTGGTGAAGCCTTGAAGGGACACGTGCATCCCTCTTGGAGGAGAGTGGCCTTTGGAGTCGAGGCAACGTGCGTGGACATGAGGTCGGCGCACAAACAACTGCCATTGCACCCTTGTGAGTACCCGAGAACAGTGGTGAGCTTGTGGGATGTTGACAAGAAAAAACCAGCATGTTTCTTGATGCGTACGTTGCCGTTTGGAGCTGCAGCAAGCGTACACCACATTCTTGCGAACCAGCAGCTTCATACTGTTCGAGGCCCTTATTGCCAACTTGGTGTTGGTTTGATGCGTTTCTATATTGGAACAGCGCAGCTGAAGAAGGTGCTTGGGTGGGCTTAAAACCGGACCTCCAAGGAGGCACCGGATTCAATCTGTTGAGGGTCCAGTTTTGGACCCCCGTGCAAAGGAAACGTGTTTAAAAAAGGGTCAGAAGGTGGACCCCCTTGAAATCAAAAATGGTCCCCCCTGGAGGGCCCAGTTTTGTTGTGAACGGTTTTGGAATTGGACGAAGGCACAGGCCATTGAACAACACCCGTAAACCCCTGAAAAGGGTCCTGATTTGGGTATCCATAATGCTCCGCAAGAAAAATCATAACAAAAATGCACGCCCATTCGTTGATCCTCGGTCCAATCAAAAACACTTCTGGATAGGGCCCCAATTTTTTCCAATACCCATGTTTTTGGCTTTACATGTTATAGGAATGCAAGCTGGAAATTACACTTCTTCTTTGAAACAATCTTGAATCCTTCCATATGGATCACTGTCGTCTACCCTTCCCTGAATGTTTCCAAGTTCAACTCACCTAGTTCCACACTCATATGTACTGATTCCACCGAGGATTTAAATTTTACGGAGCAATGCCGCGCAAGGGTTGCAGACATGAAATATGCTATTGGTTTTGACAAAGGCATTTCAAAGGGACATTTGAAAGGGTGCTAATGGGTGCTCTTTGGAGTTTGGACTAGGGAGTGCTTGGTGCTTGGCCCCACATGTGCTACGCACACAACTGCCAGGGATTGCCAATCACCGCTTAGTGCAGACATGGAAAGAACATACAAATGCCGTAGTGAGGTTTAAAAAACCATGCAGAGTTTTGGTTTGCCAACACCAGTTTTGGGATAGGGAGGTGCAGTGGTCGTGGTGGGTTTTGCAAAGCAATGTAGAGTTTTGACTTGTCGACACCAGTCTTGGGATAACTAGATGCTGTTGTGGCATGTTGTGGCGTCAAAAGTCTGGAGAACACAGAGCGATAGCAATACACCGTTTAAACATTGACTAAACATAATTTCAATAATTTCTTGAAAATCAGGGATGGTCATATTTGGTTTTGAATAATGGTTCTTAATGGCAAGTTCGAAAATAAAAACTCTGAATTTTCATCATGTTTTCTCAAAAACTTAAAAACATGGACTTGTGAGACGGTTGCTGCCTTAGATTTGTTGCCCAGCCATTCCACTCCCTGAACATGCCAAAAATACAACCAACCCTTTGCGAATACACAGTGCCCCCTAAAACAATCAACTGCCCCTAGCGGCGCGATCTTCATGCAAAAATATTGATCAATTTATATATATATATATAATTATATTATAATATATTTATATGTACCATGCAACCTGCACTTTTTTGGATATGGTTGTTTATACACAGTAATACTACGCAGGCAAAACATACCATAGAGACAGCATATAGCGGCAAAAAACAATTAACCTGTGTGCAAAATCTCAGCCTTATACCAAGTCAAAATGAAACGGACAAACTTGCAGCGCAAGGGAAACATATCGCATTAGCGTTTGCAAACTATTTTATCAAACACCGTTTTGTGGCCCGAAAAAAATAAAGCAAGACTGCCATGTCGCGACAGTCAAAAACAATGATTAGCATTTGATGTTTGAACTGCCTTTTCATTACGTTGACGTTGTTATTTGTTGTATGCATAAAACGGAAACCTTGTACTACATTGTCTATATATCGATAGTTTCTATTTGCATGCATGCACCTGCGCAAAGCTAACGCAGGTTGTAAAGCAGTTCCAACAGTAATGCGCCGTAGTTTTTAACGTTCGTCTTGGCCACCTCCCACATGAATGAACTTCCATGATCGAGACTAGCGATTGGTGAAAGAGTCATTTGCGGCATCCGTGATGTGTTCACTTCGTACGAACCTACCTTAATCCTGGTCACTCACAATGCAGGCTTTCATGCCAAAGGGTCCAATGATTGCACAAACCCACTGCCTGATCACGTGTGCAACGGAACAGCATCAGAAAAAATGGTCACGTGTGTGCTTACACAGGTGCAGACAAGCTAAGCGCAGACAACAAAGTGCAGACATGTGCAAACAAACTAGTTTGTCTGCACATGTGTGCAGACAATGTGCGGACAAAATATTTTTTCTGCACATGTGTGCGGACAAACTGCAGACAAACTGCAGACAAACTGCAGACAAAGCCAGACAAACTGCAGACAAACTGCAGACAAAGCCAGACAAACTGCAGACAAACTGCAGACAATGCCAGACAAACTGCAGACAAACTAGTTTGTCTGCAGTTTGTCTGGCTTTGTCTGCAGTTTGTCCGCACACATGTGCAGACACACTAATTTATCTACAGATTGTCTGCACATTTATGCAGACAAACCAGTTTGTCTGCACATTGTCTGCACACATGTGCAGACAAACCAGTTTGTCTCCACATTGTCTGCACACTTGTGCAGACAAACTAGTTTGTCCGCAATTGATTCAGGAACACACACGGTCGCTGCAATTATTCAAGCAGTCATGCAATGAAAGCGGTTTATCTGGTGAAGCAAGATTCGGATGCGTATCAGCTGGCTGGCTTAAGGTTAGACTGTGTAACTTGAGTTCAACGACAGTGCATCAATGTTCTTCATGTCAATGTCCAATTGCAGGTTCACAACATGTTCTTTCTTTTGAGTGCATTCAACTTGCCTGGGGGATCGTAGAAGAGCCATGGATGCTGATGAGAGCTCAGCTTGCCTTAAGGGCTTGCGCAGGAAGTGGCGGAAAACATCACATGGCAATGTAGGAGATGCCACTTCACATGTTGAATCTGTGGATGATGATGTTCATGTTGTTTCACATGATTGCCCCGGAGTTAGTTCAAGCCTTGTGCCGCCTGGTAGTGACGTGCAATCAGTTGGAGCCTTTGCGCTCCCTGACAGTCTGGATCTCGGTTTTGGACCTCAGCCACAGCATGAAGATGCGTCTACAATTTATGAACCTTCATTTGCACCAACTACTGACGTAGAGTTGGACGTAGGTGGAATGAGTTCATTTGCAGATGACAACGCTGCGGTGTCAGACTTATTTATCAGGAAGGCAAGGCTTGCAAACATTACCATGCCTTGGGAGACACCTTTGATGCGTGGAATTTTTGGAGAGACAGGGCCGAGTGTTAACCTCAGTATGCCATTGGATTGGGGAACAGCTGATTTGCCTCTGTCTGGATCGGCTGAACCATGCTCTGCAGAGCCCATCATTCCTTCCCAGTGCAGGTGGTCCTGTGCCCAGTATGTTTTGCACAAGTCCGATGAAACGTACTTGCAACAGAAAGACAAGACTATGAATGGAGCGCTTGCAAAGTGGAAGTTTTTGGTTTTGACCGATACACGTTTCTCCGAAGTTGGCAGACAGTTGGTAGATGCAGACGATGAACAGATAGCTCTGGTGCTGACCTCAGTCATGGGAGTGAAGTCACCCAACACGGTGTTGAAGAGGGCAGGAGCCATGATGATGTATTACAGGTGGCATGCAGTACATGGATTGGAAAATTGGCTGCCATTCGATGAGAGCATGGTGTGGCAGTATGTGATGTATCAGTCTGCAACTTGTGGGGCAGCGTCACGATCTCAGTCATTTGTTCAAGCGCTTCGGTTCTCACACTATGTCATGGGTTTTGACAATGCCTTGCACTGCGCAAATTCCAGGAGAGTTGTTGGCCAGGCACAGTTGCAGTTGTCCTCAAAGGCACCCACACGTCAGGCCAGGCCTCTTACGGTGTTGGAGGTGAAGGCATTGCATGCGATTGCAGATGGGGTAAGCCATTCAGTGGTTGATCGATGTATGGCGTCGAACTTGCTGTTAGCACTTTATGGGAGATGCCGAGTCTCTGACTTGAACTTCGTACATGAAGTTTTGCATGACGTCTCTGGAGGCTCAGGGTTTTTGGAGGTGTCGACCAGATACCACAAATCTGCAAGGTCGGCTCAGCAAAAGGCGCTGTTGATGCCTATTGTGATGTCTAGCAGTGGTGTCGCAGATCTACCGTGGATCCATTCATGGATATCAAATCGAAAAGCCTGCGGCCTTGCAACTTCTGGTCTGGTACAAGGAGCTTTGATGCCAGCACCCTGCTTAGGTGACAGGGTAACCTGGATGAAACGCCCGCTGTCGCCCGGAGAGGTCACAAACATCCTGAAGGGATTCCTCTCTAGTGATGACCCGGCTCTTTCCAGTCACAGCCTCAAGGCCACCACCTTGAGCTGGGCATCAAAGGCAGAAATCCCACGCGAGCAACGTCGCATTTTGGGGCGACACAGTTCAGCAGTGCAAGGTGCTGACTCTTACTACAGTCGTGACATCAGCATTGGTCCCGTGAATTCCTTGCTGAAAGTCATCAACATGGTCAAAGATGGCACTTTCATGCCTGATGCCTCCAGAGCAAATTATTTTCCTGCAGGTGGCGGCAAGTCGTCGAGCACACCTGCCCATGTGGTCATGCAGCCGTTCACACCGGCATATTTGGAGCGGGGACAGCCTGCCACTCCAATGGGGCCCATGGGTGTGCCTGGTGCGGAGCGTGGACAATCTACAGTGCCTGCGCCAGTTTCGCCGGCAGCCGTGTCCGATGTGAAGAGTGAGGCGAGCTGGAGTTGCATCGGTGCCGGACAGGGCCTTGGAGTGATTGAGCTGTCGTCTGACTCCGATACAGAGAGCTCAGAAAGCAACAGTGTAGCAGGATCTTCTGATGAAGATGATGCCATTGACCTTGAGTCGGAGCCTGAAGGTGACGTGCGCTATGCTGGATGTGATGAATCAGCTCATGGCATCGTTGCCAGGAACACCAAGACGAAGGTGGTGCATGAATGCAGAGACAAGTCATGTGTGGCGTTTACTTGCCAAGATGACTTCATGAAGTCCATGGAAGGGAGGCTCACATTGTGTGGCAGGATGATCACAAAGAACTATGGTTTGATTTGCGGTGCCTTCGATTGGACGGCGAAGTGCAGGGTCTGCTTCAAGGGGCGCAGAGACCCAAACAGGTTGGACTGATGTGTCAAGAAAAGATGTTTCACTTGCGCTGCGTTTCACCGTGTCCGAGCCATGCAGAAAAAGAAATGTTTGCTTCTTTATATGTTTCCAGCGGTGAAAGTGCAGATGTCTTCAACCTGCTACCATGTCCTCACATGTTTGGATGTTTTCCTCATGTCCCACGTGCTCATGTGAATGTTAAGGGTTCTCTCTTCGGAAATGATTGGTTGTTTCATGTTATTTGCGGAATATTGAAGCCAATGTGGCAATTTCGGCAATGTGCCAAACAAAGAATGCGATGAGCATTCACCACGATGTGTGGACATCCGCAGCGATGTGCTGAGGGAACATGTGCAAAAAAAAGAAATGCTGAATGTCAGCACCGCAACTGATGGTTGTTGCAGGCGTCATGTTAACCTGTGTCATTGGGTTGCAAATGATTTGAGACTTATGCAACTCAAGTTGTTTCCTTTTACTTTGCAGTCTCTTGTGGGGTCATCCTCATGGAGGGTCTGAACCGGGTTTCTGAGAGAGGAACATGTTTATATTTTCTCTTTTAGATCTGACTGACCATTGCTGCCATGACATCCGTCGTGGATTCACGTGCCCATTTTTTGAAAAGATGCAGAGACATGGGGATGACAGATCGGGCAGTTAACAGCCTGACAACTGGAAACTTGGACACGATGGGCAAGTTAGCATTTGCCATTGGCCAACCAGGCCATCCACTGGATGCTGCAGAGTTTGGAGTGTTCGCTCAGAACACGCTTGGAGCAATGATCAATCAGGCTGATACAGCCGTACTCAAACGTTTAGTGTTTGAGGGGCACACCCTAGTTCTTGGACAGCTCCGAGAGTTGGTGACAGATCCAAATGCCGCAGCCTCCCGAAAGCTCCCGGCAGTGGAGCGAGAGCATCGCATGACGGAGCTTCGTCAGAGGTTGGTAGGGGTGGTCTTAGAAAGACAGCTTGAGCCATCACACGAGCTCTTGGAAGCCATGATGCAACAGAAAGAAACCAATCAGTTGAGTTTTGTGCAGTTGGAACGTTGTACATCCCGTGAATGGGAAATCACGATGGGGAAGAACAAGAAGCAGTTGGCTTTGGATGCTGAGAAGTTGATCATAAAGGAGAAATCCGACATCCCGGATCAATCCCATAGCTCAGAGCTGCAAGCCTTCGAGGCACTCCGCAGACGGGGCGTCGCAATGACGTTCGCCGACATGATTTCTTGGGAAACTCATGAAAGGTACCTGCAACAATTGACATCACATCTACGTACAGAACCGCCTCCCAACTTCATGAGACCTACTTTGCCGCAGATTCTCAAAGCGGATAGGCAAGTCTTCTTGTACCTTATTCGCATTGGCGTGGACCTTAAGCGTCAACCAGACAACAGCCTTCAGCTTGATGACAAGATCTTCACTGCTCTTCAGTCCTATGAGGTTGGTTTCCACCTACTCCCTCTTCCAAAGGCAGCACAACCAGTGGACAAGCAAGCTCAGCCAGCAGCTGGACCGTCATCATATGGTGGAAACAAAGGCAGTTGGTCTGGAGGAAGACCCCAGCCGTACAAAGGAAAAGGTGGGGGTCATGGCAAAGGCAAAAGCAAAGGAGGGCGGTCGGTGCTGCCCAAATTTTTACTTGGGCGTGACAACACCAACATGGATATGCATGGAAGGCGTTTGTGCTTCAACTATCAGATGGCCAAATGCACTGACGCCCCAGACGGCGGAGAATGTCCCAGCGGGTGGCATCTGTGCAGCCGCAAAGGCTGCCATGCGCCGCACCCAGAGCGCGATCATGATCAGAAGAAGAAGTGACGTGTCAAGGGCCGCATCGGCTCCCTAGTGGAAGCGGGTGTGGGCCTCAATGAATGTTTGATAGTTGAGATCTTTGCGGGCACTGGAAGAGTTACTGCTGCGCTGAAGCATCTGGGTTTACATAGTTCTTTTGGAACAGACCACATGCGATCTAAGCAGGCAATTGCTCCAATAGTGTTGGCAGATTTATCAACACAAGCTGGCATCGAGTTGTTGATGCAGTGGCTCTCAAATCCTAATGTGGTCGGAATTTTCCTGGCTCCACCGTGCGGGAGTGCCTCAAGGGCAAGATCAATCCCGGTTAAGAGAAAACGGCCTGGCGACCCAGAACCACCTAGGCCGCTACGGTCAAATCAGTACCCAAACGGGTTACCCTTTCTTTGCTTTGTTGACCGACTGAAAATTTCGAAGGCCAATAAGCTGTATCACCTCACAGCAAAGCTGATACAATGGGCAGTTGAAGAAGACTGTCTTTTTGTTGTTGAGAACCCGCAATTCAGTTTCTTCTGGCAAACCAGTTTTATTCAAGCAGTCGTTGGACTCATGGATTTCACAGTTTTTCAGTCATGCCAGTATGGCAGCTCACGCCCAAAGCGCACAATGCTTGGTTTCAATGCGGAAGAATTTCGATGTCTCAATAAGATGTGCCCAGGTGTCTCCAATACTCACAAGCATGAGCAATGGGGCCTGTCTCCTTCCACCAACCAATTTGCAACTGCAATGGAGACGGCGTACCCTTTCAAGCTGGCGAAGTCAATAGCACTACAGTTTGTTTTGGCGTTGAAACGTAGGGGCATTCAAATGCCCCCAGAAACCCTTGCGGAGATCTCACAATTTGACGCTGCCTTTTTGTCATCCCTGCGGGCTCAAACAGGTGTTCAAGCGAAGGCCTCAAAACTGCCGCCACTGATTCCTACATACTCGGCAAAGTTGGCAGTCACAGCCTTCAAATCAGATTTGCCGCAAGTGGAAGTTGGATACAAAGTTTCCACAGTTTTACATGTTTCAGCGTACAACGCGCCCACAGCCTTACCGAAAGGCGCCAAGCTTCTTTACACAACAAACGCATTACTTCCCTCCGAATGTCTGCAACGGGGGGCTTTTGTCTCCGGTCAGCAGATGCAGCAGGACGAAGTTGACAGGGTTGTCAAACTATGTGGCGAATCCCCCATCCACAAGACGGGTGTGACTGAAACCCAGGTTTGGGGGTTACCTTGGAGTGAGCAACAGTTCATCGAACAGATGGTACGTTTTGGACACCCTATGACCTTACAGTCAAACCTACCTGAGATCCTGCGCGATGCAGTAGGGCTTTACAACTCTATGGATGCACAACAGAGGATGGCCTACAGAGCAAACAAGCTTGGGTTTTGGCTAAGAAGGTTGGTGGAGCTCAAAGGTGATGAAAGGAAGTTGAAACAGACGCTGGATTCCGAAGTTGCCCAAATTTTGGAGTTGAAAAATATCCTCCTCTGGAAGGAGATGCTGGAGGCAACACAGTATCCGGACATGAATGTCGTTCAGGAGTTTATGAATGGTTCTGAACTTGTTGGGTGCGTGCAGAAGACGGGACTATGGCCCGCAAAGTTTCAGCCTGCGTCTATTGGAGTGGACGAGTTACATCAAGTGGCCATCAAAGAGCGTGCATTGTTTGAACAACAGTTTGGGCAAGGCAACCAGGAACAGTTTCTTGAAGAAGTGTGGACGAAGACTTTGGAAGAGGTCGAATCTGGCGTCCTTGTAGGACCCTTTAGTTTGAACGAGGTGCCAGACCGGTACCCACTATCTCGACGCTTTGGGATTGCCCAGGGCGCCAAGATTCGTTGCATTGACGATTTCTCCAGATCCAGCGTGAACAGCGCTGTCCAGACCTGTGAAAGTCCTAAACCACACACCTTGGACGTCTATGCTGCCTTGTGTGTTTTTGTGATGTCTTCAAACAGTAGATCCAGAAGATGGCTTGGGAGAACCTTCGACTTAACTGGAGCATACAGGCAGTGTGCAGTACATCCATCATCCAAGCCTTACGCACACATTGCTGTGAGGCATCCCTTGACAAGGGAGATCCATGCATTTCGAATGCGTGCGCTCCCATTCGGAGCTGTGAAATCAGTGCATGCCTTTTTGAGGGCATCAGCAACATCAGCAAGCTTATGGTTTTTGCTGGTCAAGGAGTTTCTTGTTTTGGCAACAAATTATTTCGACGATTTTGTAACCCTTGCTGAGGACACAGAGGCATCAGCCGTAACAGCTTGTGTGCACATGTTTTTCAAGTTGGTAGGCTGGGCGTTTGCAGCCGAGGGCCCCAAGGCTCCAGACTTTGCTGAACTTTTCACGGCCTTGGGAGTCACAATAAACGTTGGATGTCTTCATACTGGCTTGGTGACAGTCGGCAACACTGAAAGCCGACGAGAGGAACTACTGAAAGTCCTGGATGAGCTTTTGACATCCAGAAAACTGACAAAACCCGAAGCACTGCGCTTACGGGGACGCCTGCAATTTGCGGCTGGGCATGTCTTCGGCCGTGTGGCTAAGAGTGCATTAGCAGCTGTCACAGCTCATGCGTATGATGGTGGGTCATCCATGCTCAGCAATCAGGCCCTTCTGGCCCTATCTCTGCACAAAAGAATTTTGGAATCTGGACGGCCGCGTGAGTTGAGGCCAACTTGCAATGAGTCATGGTATATCCAAACTGATGCATGCTACGAACCTGAGAGTGACTATGTCCTTGCGGGTATAGGCGGGGTCTTGTTTGCCCCTGATGGGAAGCCAGTTGCGTTTTTCTCACAGCAACTCAATCAACAGATGATCGCAGCTTTGAACCCTGGCAGCCGTAAGACCGCGATCTTCGAATGTGAGTTTTTCGCCCTCTTTTGTGCGATGTTGTTGTGGGGCAGTTCAGCCAGCAGTGCCTTAGTCTTGTACACTGACAACAATGCGGTGCGTGATGCCATGATTTCTTGTCATACTACAAATGCAGTTGCTAAGAAGATTTTGGTTGCAGTTTTATCTTTGGAGACCGAGTTGCAGTTGGCGCCTTGGTTTGCGAGGGTCCCGACGGACTCCAACCTAGCTGACCACCCTTCACGTTTAGAGGTGGAGCTTCTGTTGAAAATGGGTGCACAACGACATGAGTTGTGTGCCGAAGAATGCTGGGATGTTCTGTTGTCCAGAGCTGGAACTTGGGGAGATGACCTGGGCATCAGAACATCCCAGCGTGAAAAGTGAAGTTGCGCCTGAGAGCTTGCCTTGTTGAACAGTTTACTCAGATTCCTTGCAGTGCATTCGCAACTTTTCTTCAGACATGTCTTCTGCAGCTGTGCCAGCGTTTGCAAGACTGATAATCAAGCAGTCATGCAATGAAAGCGGTTTATCTGGTGAAGCAAGATTCGGATGCGTATCAGCTGGCTGGCTTAAGGTTAGACTGTGTAACTTGAGTTCAACGACAGTGCATCAATGTTCTTCATGTCAATGTCCAATTGCAGGTTCACAACATGTTCTTTCTTTTGAGTGCATTCAACTTGCCCCACCCACAATCCACCCTCTGGCAAGTTGGGTGCACTCTTTGGCAACTTGACGTCTTCATCATGGACATTTGTCGAAGCGTTAACATGTCAAAACGACATGGCCAAGCCCACAGCCTGATGACCTGGGCATCAGAACATCCCTTGGGAGATGACCTGGGCATCAGAACATCCCAGCGTGAAAAGTGAAGTTGCGCCTGAGAGCTTGCCTTGTTGAACAGTTTACTCAGATTCCTTGCAGTGCATTCGCAACTTTTCTTCAGACATGTCTTCTGCAGCTGTGCCAGCGTTTGCAAGACTGATAATGTTTTGCACCTGCGGCCCCGACAAAAATCGAGCGAATTTAGTTTGCAAACAAAAAGTACATTTTGACGTTTATATATGTATAGCATTATATAGCTATCTTTGACACCTGTCAGATTTTTTCCCATCAAGGCGGGTTCACACTCATCCATTTTTCTCCCTTTCCCCAAATTTTGAGAGTAACCGCAGAACACACTGTGTTGAGGTCACGCAAACAAGTTGGCAAACAAGCGCTTCTAAAACACAAAAACTGTCTGTCATGTTCAACGAATTAGAATTGACAACTCAAGTGTCTGCCGGTTTGGTTCATCGACTCAAGAAAACCTTTCTAAACTAAACCAGCGAAAAATTGCAGCGGCATCAAAGAACACTTCAACTAGCAAAATGCTGGGTACCAAAACTTCGCCAAGCGCCCTTGCTTCTTTGAAGACCAGCGTGCTTAGCACATTTGGGGCAGAAGAGTGTCACGCTATAGGTTGTTCTTGAACCGTGTTTTTTTCCTGTCTTCAATGTCTATCTAAAGCCAGCTAATTGGCATGGTACATCAATTTGATCACAAGGTTCCTGATTTTTTTAATATTTTTTTCATGTTCACATCCTTCATCCAGACCGCTTGAAGAGTTCTTTAGTTTGACCATGCGTGTTTTGTCTGCACAAGTTCTATTTGCCCTTATTTAAGTCGCAGAGCTGTTCCAAACTAGCAATTTTAGTGGACTTCAGCTGGCCATTGGTCTTCCAGGTTGCACTCTACAGCCGGATTTGTTGTTGGAAGCCTTCTGACAAGCATTTACTCGAGGCTATAGGCTATAGATGATAGACGGCAGAACGTATAAACCTTACCTGTTGGCTTTCACTTTCCATCAGCGGTTCCATACATTACATGACCCTCACAACCCTGTTTTTGGAAGAAGGCTGTCCCGCGCCTTTCAACTAGAGTCCTGTTTGTGTGTGGCTAGGCCGATATTGATTGTTTCAGCGTTACAAAAAATATCAAGCCGAAGTGTGATGAATTCTGCCTTGAGAGGGTCCAAGTTCACCACAACATGAATGAGGCTTTCAAAAATAAACAGGTCATGTCTCAGTTTGCATAAAAAGGACACATGTCTTTTCTGGAATCAATACGTTTTTCTTGCTGGCAACTGTTGTTTGATATTGCTCCCTGTTTCTTTAACCGGCGGCGGCATCGGTCTTGTCAGCTCTCTGGGGCGCGTCGGGCCCCATGCCAGATAGAAAGTCAGAGAATATGCCAGATAGTATGTCAGAATATTTGCCAGAACAGATGTCAGAGACTATAAAAATCTATGATGTATGTCAGGATGTGTATAATATATATATATATATATATGTGCCACGGTGGGGGAACACATAAAGTATATAAGGTAATTTTCATCTTACCCGACTTTGTCAGCCATATGAATTTCTCTACGTCCCGGCAATAGCCAGGGCCATGCCCTACAAACCGCATATGGGTTTTATGTGACTTTGCAAACCTTACAATGGCATCAGTATGCACTTTTTATGTCTGCACTTGGCTTTTGATAGAAAACCAAATGCTCAACGGAATCAGTACTCATATGACCTTTAGCTTCCGTTCACCCCCCCGGGCCTCAAGTTCCAGCCTTCCATTAGGTTTTGGTTGCTTCCTTGTTGTCCAGCAGGTAAACCATTGACTGGTCTTCCGTGCAGGGAACATAACTGGCAAAACCAGCACGGAGCAAGGAATTTCTTCATGACAAAAACAAACATTAGCCAACTGGATCAATTTGCTGTTTGTAAAACAACAGCACGTTTAATGTAGACCGATTTCAAAACTTGCAACCGCTTGGAATCTAGTATTCAATCTACACCGTCGCAAAGCAACCTGTTTGAGAAAAATGGTGCCATGGTATTGACATTATTGGTGTTAAATGGTGTTAGTGCTGATATGTGGAATATCGGTTGGGATCTCGGAAATGTGTAGGCTATGCAGCCATTTCAAGCTACTAAAAATTGACGCATCGTGCAGCCAACACTGTCGTGCTCCAATGTCGATTCCAGCGATTCCGGTGATTCTAGTGGCAGGCGTTGCCGTGGGAGCTGCAAGTTTCCAGATCATTTCCATCAGTGTTCTGGTGCTCGTTTTGCTCTTGTGCGGTGCAATCATGACATGTTTCATTGTGGGACAGCGTTCAGTGCACTTCTTGGGGCAAGATGAACAATTGCTGGTGGAAGGTTTCACCGGAATGTATGTGCAAAATGGGCCTGGCACCTTCATCTTGAATCCATTTACCCACCGATCAGCTTCAGTCCGTAAAGCAGAAACTTTGGGCACAATGGACTATCTGAAGGTGCGCCATGCGGTCGAAGGAAAAGAGCGGATAGAAAAGGGGCCCCAGCTCTTTTTCCTTGCGCCCTACGAACAGATCGTTGAGAGGTCCAAAGGATTGAGTCTTGGCAGTACGGAATATGCACTGATCAAGGACTTGCTCACAGGCGAGCGGCGTATCATCAAAGGGCCTTGCATGTGGTTTCCTGGGCCTCATGAGGATGCACAACGTGGAGCCGCAGTTAGCTTGAGCCGCACAGAATATCTGATTGTTGAGGACATTGGTTGGATATTGGGTGAGTGTGTGTGTGGATGTTACTTGTCGGCCTGGAGAACACCATGAAGTTGATGATATTCACGAATGTGAAATGAATAGCATTCAGGACTAAACCAAATTCCTGTACATTGTGTTTGTTTTTCCTGTTCCGTCCGTGGTTGTGCTATTTTTTTGTTAGGACCAGCTGACCGGCGAAAAGGCGACCGTGAAAGGTCCTACAGTATGGTTTCCTGGACCCTTTGAGCGAAGTGGTAGCAAAATGACAGCTATCGCCTTGCAAGATGATGAGTACATCAAGGTCAAAGATACGCCAGTGACTTATATTTCATATGATTTCATGATGATGTGATCAAATTTCAAGTGCAACAGGCATCAACAGGCATCAACAGGCATCAACAGGCATCAACAGGCACTTAAGCTTCGTAGCCGAGGTCTTCTGGAAAGAAGTGGGTACAACAGGGTAAAGCACTCGTGTTTCCAGAGCCCACCTGGCAAGTGGAAGGCGGTGTTCGCCAAGCATGGGCTTCTCGGCAAAATTGTGTGGCCCTTTTAGGTGGCATGTGAGGCTATGTGAGTCATGTGGGCAAAATGGGGAGACCCAAGTTTTGGCATGTCTGGCATATGCGGCAAATTTTTTAAAATTGTTATATTGTTGGGATATCCTCAATTTTTGAGACAAATGTGTTGTCTGTGACGAAGACTCCAGGCCCTGAAGTCCTACGAGTACGTGCGCCTCGTCAACAAAGTCACTGGAAAGGCGGATGAGAGCAGCAGCTCACCGATGGGTACCATGGCTATGGGTCAAAACTGAGGTACCAATCAATCCAGAAAAATTGGGTTAATCATCTTTTTTAATCATTTAGGCCCACAGAAATTGGGTTCTCATGAAACCATAAATTGGTGGGTTGATAACTTTGACCCATAGCCACCCCATGGATTCTCTGCTTCCCATGACACACAAAGAATCCAGCACCGCTTCCGGTGCAGGTTGAATCTCATCGCGGGGAACAAACCGTTTTTCCAGGACCTGATGATGAACTTTTAGATGGACAGGTTATGCAGCTCATTGACTTAAAGGCGCCGTCACAGTGCTGTACTAGCAGAGAATCGCTGGTGCCGAAGTGCAAGTTTCATTTGTTTCATCATTATGCTACGGACAGATGATAGATTCTGATAGATATTTGATTTTTTACTTCATTCCGATTCATTCCTATCATCTGGCAAATATTTGATGATATTTGATGATATTTGATTCATTTGATGATAGATATTTATGACTTTCATCATTCTTATGTTAGGATTTTGGATTTCCGTCTCCTGGCAGGTACATGAGTACGTCAAGATCCTGGACCAATCCACTGGTGCAATCCGAGTCGAATCTGGCAGCCAAGGAAGCAGCAAGCAAGTCTTCCTTGGACCCCATGACAAGGTTCTGGACAATGGCAAAAAGAAGGCTGGAAAAAAAAGAAAAAATGCCGCAGTTACAGCAAAACGAGTTTCAAAGTTTGAAGTGACACATCAACATGTCTTACACCGCACCCTGTTCAGATTATGTAATCATACAATCAAGGACTTTATTCAGCTTCGCTGACTGAAGTTGGGAACTGTTGATTTACTCACCTTTTCCCACGGGCTTGGAACTGTTGGCCACATTTCATGAAAATCATCAAAAGTTTGGCCTGCGGAAGTGACAACCACACACACTGTAACGTGTACACATATGTGCAAAATGCAAAGGATATTGCAATGTATAGTCAGCAATTTCATTCCAGTACAGTTCGTTGGTGAATACATACATATATATATATATACATACATATCCGTGCGATGAAGAAAAAAAAGTCACGAATAAACCAAATAATTAGGTGAACAGTCATTGGTATATTCACAAATGACTAATATAATATATATATATATGTATATATTTATATTTATGTATATATATATATTTATATTTATGTATATATATATATATATGTATATATATATACATATATATATATATGTATATACACATACACATCACACTGGTATAATGGTTAATAATATACGTATAGGTCGATAGGATCAACAATCAACAATCCTTGCCCGAGGCGGTGGAAATTGATGGTGAGCATGCGGTGCTGGTGCGAGACAAGAGTTCTGGGCAAGTGCGCTTGGTCACGGAAAAGCAGCTCTTCATTCCTGGGCCGAATGAATCCATTGAGACACTTGGATCGGAGATGGATATAGTGGTTACATAATGAGGATATAAAGGGAACGGTTATACTATGATACAATGGTTGTATTAGTGAATACCATGGTTTATGTAGATGGCACCAGTATGCAATTTTTCGCTACGCGAGGAAGGTGCAAGATTTGGTCAAATTGGCAGATCATGAAGCCCTGATTGCCGGGAGCTTAGCTCGGCCACGGAGCCGCGTCATATACGACCTCATCTTTGTAATGAGAAACATCAACATGGATGCTGAAAAAATGATACCAGCAACAAAATGGAGCAGAGGGTGAGGAAACTTAAGATGAAGTGTAGCGAGGTGAAAAACAAGGACGGTGAGTTCCAATACTTCTATGGCAGTGATGAAAAGAGGGCAGCAGGACAGCCACGATCATTCTTCTTGGAACCATATGCAGAGATAGTGAAACTATGCTGGAGCAAGGGCAGACGGCGAGAAACACGAAATCTCTTCATCGAGCGATTCGACTGCAGGGCTCAATTTATGTCCTTTGAATTCAATTGCAGAACCTCAGACAATGTCAAACTGATCCTGGAGGGCACTTTCTTTTGGGAAGTGGTTGATCTTCCTGCTATGGTCAAGAGTACCGGAGATACCAGTGGTGATCTCTGCAATCATGCAAGATCGCAATTTATTCGGCATGTTGCCAGGGTGACTCTCAAGGAATTCATGGACAGTTCACATGCGATCGCCAAGAAAGTCTGGGAGGAGGACACCAGTTTCTATGCATCTCGAGGCGTGAAGATCCATTCACTGGAGGTGACCCGCTATCAATGTGCGGACTCGAGGACCTCTGAAATTCTCGAACAGATCATTCAGGACTGCTGACTGACTGACTCACTCACTCACTCACTGACTCACTGACTCACTGACTCACTGACTCTCTCTCTCTCTCTTTCTTTCTGTGCTGTTGAAAGCAAACATAGACATCGCCGATTTGGATGCGCTTGAGCAATCTTGAGGAGACAACCAACAGGATGAATCGACTTTCTCAGGCCGAAAGTGAGAACGAGGTGGGATGAGTTGGACAAGTCACAGATGTCTTACGGAACCAGGCCCAATGATCACTGAAAGTACTGAAATCTGGCTTCATTTGATATTGTTTAATGTTTTTTAGATCCATTTAGTTAATCGAAAGCTTTTGCCGTCTTAGAAGCCGTCTTAGAGCATTGAGACCATTGAGACTCGTTAGGTCAGCCTTTTCCGAACACACGGGCAGATTGAGCAAGAGCGTCTCAACGGAGATTTGCTGGTGCCTTGCCTTGGATATCTTGGATCGAGAACGAGAACTCGTCGGTTGCAGAGTTCGTGGTACACAATCCCCATCCCCAATATGATCATACCATAAATGGTTGCAGGATGAGGCCCCCCAGTTATAAGTTGGTTTATAACCCCCATTAAGTATAGTTATCTATACTTATATCTACCATAAACCATAGTTGAGCCACTAATATCTCAACTTAGCTATTTTGGGGGCCCCATCCTGTGGGAATGGTTGGAATTCAATCCATCCCCAAATGGGAAGTTTATGGCATGGCACTGGGTTTGGCAAACTGCCTTGATGCTCAGGCGATCAAGCATAAGCATTCCGAAGCAGAGGCTGAAGTGGTCGGACGTGCTGAAGCCAACAAAGTTGCAGCTTTCATCGCTGGCCTTGAAGCCAAGGCGTGGTTACTTGATCTATTGTAGAGAGATCTACAAGAAGTTGTGATCAATATGCGGCAGAAAAGCGTTTTCGGACACGCATATGAGTTGCATGTATTCCACATATATATATATATACATACATACATACATACATACATATATATATATACATACACATATATACATATATATATACATATATATATATACATATACATATTCCGTATGATATATAAAAATAATATTTCATATTGATTGAATCAAAATTGAAGTGGTACAATGGCAACCTCTGTGCTCCTGTGCTTGGCCCGCAGGTGCCAAAGCTTGATGACCGAATCTCGCTCTGGCAGGTCTTGCGCAAAAACGAAGCATTGGCCAACATATCGGAGGGCATCTCAGCATATCTCAGCTATCTAAATCACTTTTTGTTCCAAATCACTTTTTCTAACTTTTTGTAGCTGTCTAGTGGAGTTCGAACTCTGAGTTGGACTTCCACTGGTGGCTCTTGTCGGCAACCAGTGGTGACTTGTGGCTGCAACCCCCAATTTTTTGTTGAACGGGAGTAGCGCGGGACTGTGCTGCAGGCAATGCAAGCTTGTACTACACCCCTTCTGATGTGGACTTGTCCATAGAGACGAAAAAATAAGAAAAAAACGATGCAGTTTGACTCAGCGGACGGTTCTAGCTGGTATAGAATCGTGATGATCTTTTCAATTTAATGTACCGCATGAAGCGAGTTCACAAGCCACAGGGGCACAGCAGCTCCATGCAGTAATCCGCTGCTGGCGACCCTTACGGGGTGGCGCTCGCTTCAGCCGCTTGAAGACCAAGCGAAGTGTTTATAGCTCGATGCAGCGTGCACCATGTACAGGCTTTGGTGAGTGTAGGAAACCTTGTGCTGCTTTGAGAAGGAAGAACTGCTCTCATAATATGAGGTGATGACAGGAACAGCAAGTTGCACTTAGTCACTTAGAGGTGGCTTTTGGATTTTCGTGAAGAGGAGGCCAGATTTTTCCCAAGAAGGAGAGGTTCCACACATTTTGCAACATACAGTGTGTACTCTATGCCTTCTAGCCACCAATTGTTTGTCACACGTTCTTGAGCGCTCGACAATTGGTATTGCGTGGCTTCCTGGTTGACACTGCGAGCATTTTGGTTCGCATGGTAGCGCTTGGAAGGACATGGTAATTCGAAAAAAAATACAGTTGGCTCATTTAAGGGCATCACTTTTTTTTGATTTCAGAAAGTGCACTTCGATCTGCGATTCTTCAATGTATATATATATATATAGCCAGACAAACTAGACACTAGACCAGTTGTTGCTCAACAAAAGCTGTAGACAGGACTTGTAGTAGACCTTGATGGAAAAGAGTTTTACAGGCCTTGGATGCCGATTTTGCAGTGCATTTTTTGTCTGGAAATAGGGTAGCCCGTAGCCCTAAATCCTACGACCAATCATTTTCCCTAGTAGAAGAGCAATTTGGTGGGGTGTATACCCCATTTTCAGACACACCCCATATGACTTTGCATGTCAGCACTTCTTCTTCTTTGGTTTGGTATCGTTGCAGGTGGCCGTCCCCAGACAAGTCAGAATCCTTCACTGCCCTCAAGCCACTTGACATCACTTGACATCACTTGACCGCGGGTTCCATGCCTCGTTGTGCTTTCTGGATCTGTTGATCCGAGCCATCCAAGCCAAGGCCGTCCGGGGAGCCGCGGGCTGTATTGGCGTTGTGAAGGCAATGGTTGTGGACACGAACGGCCATCATCTGCCGCAGCTTGCACTTTGAATGGAGCTGGGGGAAATGCCGGGATTCTTGGGTGATTTTGGGATTTTTGATGATTTTTGGATGATCAGGGATTTTTATGGATCCTTCTGGATTTTTGATAAGTGTTCTGACTGTTCTGTCGTTTGTCTGATCATCGTGCGTGCTGGGATTCCGAGCTTGAGACCTGGCCGACCTGGCCAAGGCTTCTACAGAGGATTTTACGAGTCCAGCCGCAAGCATCATGAGAGCCCTGGCCGAATCCGATTTTTTTTTTTGTGTGCTTGGACAACAGGGGTTGGTAACTGTCCCATTTGGGGAATATTGGACATCACCTTATAGTAGCCATGATAGACCATATACCTAATGGTTGGGTGATGTTCAATGGGGACATTTAATGACCCATGGACAAGCAGCTGCTGGCGCGTCCAAGGCTTGGCTGGCAGCAGCTGCGTGAATCTGCGAACAGCTGGCTGCCTGATGGCAAAATATACAACTTATATACTGTATATCGATATATGTATATATCTATATGTATATGTATATCTATATCTCTATCTCTATCTCTATCTGTATCTCTATCTCTATCTATCTATGTATCTATGTATCTATGTATCTATGTATGTATCTATGTATGTATCTATGTATGTATGTATGTATCTATCTATCTATCTATCTATCTATCTACCTATCTACCTATCTACCTATCTACCTACCTACCTATCTACCTATCTACCTATCTATCTACCTATCTACCTATCTACCTATCTACCTATCTACCTATCTACCTATCTACCTATCTACCTATCTACCTATCTACCTATCTACCTATCTATCTATCTATCTATCTATCTATCTATCTATCTATCTATCTATCTATCTATGCGAATAGAGTGTAGGCTACGGACCACTGTACACTCCCATATAATTCAGCCCTTAAGGATCCAACGCCAAGGGTGCGTTAACTTGCCCCTTTGGCTCAAGACCACTGCAGCACCGGAAGAAAGTATCGCCATGCTGAAGCCGCAACTCGTGTGCCGTCATCACTGAAGAATACTGAAGACAACCACTTCAAGACCAAACATCAGTACATAATCGGGGAGATAACCTCCGATTCACAGGTTATCAGCCGTAGGACTCCTACGGAGCCTACGAGCGGGTAGCCGCGGGCCTTACAGATGACTGAACAGGATAGCAGCGATAACGCATTTTCTTTCTCTGGACATGCCGTTGCACCAGCTGCCGGCACGCAGTCAAATTCTTCACAGAGTATCGACACTGGTGGAAGCGATGCCTCAGAACTGAGAACAAGCCTACCCAGGCGACCTCTGGTTGCTCCTAGAGGGAGACAAATTTCGACAATGCAAGCAATTGAAGATAGGGACAGCACGCCTGGAAAGAGAAGATCATCTGCACGACAATTGTCGCCTCCGATGACTCCAAGGACTAAGGCAAAGACTACGTCGTCGAATCCGCCTTCGCCGATTCAGGACGCTACTCCATCAGGGACAGGATCTTATCAGCAAGTGAACGCCCCGTCAAGTGGTAGCGACATCTTCACTGCCTATCAGAGCGAATTAGCTGAATACAAAGCATCACTGGAAAAGGCTACTGAAGAAGAATCCGTACTTCAGGCAAGATTAACTGAGACGACAGCATATGCCTATCAACAATTTAATTTCCTGGAAAGCACCACTCATCAAGAGATGATGTCGATGACCGAACAACTCCAGATGCTGAACTTCGAGTTACAGGCTGCACAACAAGAAGATGAAGGTGCGACCTACAGGATCGAAGAGTTGGAAAGGTATCAGACTATGTCGAATGAAGCTGCGTCTCATTTGGAATTCAAATATTCACGACTACGTTCGGAATTCGATGAACAAATGGGACAAGCGAGCGCAATTATGGTACATGTGGACGCTGACGCGAATGCTCACATCAATCAACTCAGGCTGGAACTGGAAAACGCAGAGATGAATGCCAAGCAAGAAGCTCTAGCGGTCGGCTACGCTAATGACCAAACATGTGCTTTACAGATCGAGATGCTCGAGGTTGCCAATCAAAACCAGACAATGAAGCACACCATGGCCATGAACGTTAGACGACTGGAAACTGAACTCGATGCTGCTGACATGAAGAGGGACGAGATCATGAAGGAGTTCCGTAGTAACATAAGATCTGAACATGACCGCTATGCAGAATGTGAACATCACTTAGCTTTGGAAGAATCGCAACTTCGATTGCAGGTGATCCACAATGAGAACTTACAATCTCGACTAGCGATTTCTGAGAACAAGGTTTCTGAAGAATCTCTAGCTGAATCAGGCGGCATGCGGGACATGAGGATAATGGGACTACGTTCGGAACTACACATGAAACAAAGTCTTTTAGATCGAATGCAACAACAACTGACTGAATCGAAGAATCAGTATCATGAACTTTCCTGTCAACAAGCCAGAAGATCTTCACCAAGCAGATCACCGCATGGAGGACCACTATACGAGATGTATATGCAAGCCGTGCGTGAGCGTGACAGCTTGAAGGAATCCAAGGCCGAAGTTGACAAGTTGTACTTGCAAAACAGAACTGAACTCATTGACACTGAGAATCTGCTCAAAACCTTCCAGCAACATTTCAATGAAACTGGTAAGAAGTATCAAGATGCTCTGAACAAGATCGATCACATGAGTAACAATCCGAATGTGACGAGTAACTTGTTCGACAATTTGCACAATGAAATCAGTGACAGGGATACAGCCATTGCTCGCCTTCATACTGAACTTGAAGCCCAGAAGGATTCTCTTGAGCGTGCTCACAGGGATGCAGGTAAGTCCATCAAGATGTTGAACGACAGAAGACTCGTGATCAAAGGTGCGACTGATTATTCCATTCCCGAAAGCCACTTGACTGAGATGCATCAATTGGCTAATGAGCGTTTCGCTGAGGTAGAAGAGATGTCGAGCACCATTGCTGCCCTGAAGTTGGAAAACCAGGCTCATTCTTCTTCATCATTGAATAGACCGACTACATTACATGGGTACCCCAGTAATGCTATGCCTCGGAATGAATGTGAAGAAAAGTGTGCCAAACTGAAAGCAGAGTTGGACGAGATGAAGCAAGAGAAGAACGTTGAAGTTCGAAATCTTCAAGATGAGTTGAAGAAGATGGAAGATCGGAAAGATTATTACAAGAACAATTTCTCTCAAGCTGAAGATCGTGCCAATGATGAAGAGCAGGAATACCGAGCAGAAGCTGAAGCCTTCGAGAAGCTCAGGAACGAGTACAACACCAATGTCAAGGAATTGGAGAACCTTGAGAGGGATAGATCCAAGTCATCCGTATCTCTAAGAGAAGCCGAAAAGATCAGCCTCCAACCCTGGCCTAAGACCACTGAACTTTCATCCTGGAAGGGAAGTGTTGTTCATGAAGTTTGTGTTGCAAGTGGAGATCGAAACTATGAAGATTGGAAAGCATGGCTAGCTCCGTGTCTTGCAGATCAACCTGACCTGGAGGCTCTGGCCAAAGCACCTGATGTGAGATTCCAATCCATTGATGCCAAGCTCTCCAACGCCTTGAGGAAAGTCATTGACAATGCTGGGGACAAGTCCATGCAAGTAAAGTATGACATGTCCATGAAGAACCAATTGTATGGGAGAAGTGGGGACTTCAAGGGACGAGAACTGTTTGCAATGATACTGATTAGTTTCAAGTCACCTGACCATACTGAAGTTCTCTACAACGCCCATCATTTGTATATGTTCAACTACTATGGAGATGACCAACTTGAGGCCTTTACAACAAGTGGCTTGACATCGTATACAATATGAAACATGATGATCTGCCTTCCAACAATTCCCTGCGTGACACATTGTTCCGGAAGATTGAACATTCAAAGCTTATGGCCTTTGATATCAACCGATACAAAACCTTTGATGAAGGGCATCCTGAGAAGACCTATGTTTACCTAACTGGTATGATCAAGGGATACATAGCAAGAGGAAAACAAGAACGACTGTTGAAAGATAGAGAACGTGCAGTGAAACTGTCATTGTCCTCTAACAAGACAACACCTGCTCTGGAAGATGCTGACAAGCCTGCTGCTCCCATTAAGACCAAGAAGGAGAATGAAGCGGCTGCATCGTCTACAGGTGATCCTCCCAAACGACCTAAAGCAAAGGCGAA